GTCCTCACCCAGTCGCTGAGTGTGCACTCAAATTGGCAAAAGGAACGCTCCTTGATTGTTGTTGTCGGTCGTCGGTCGTCGGTTGTTGGCTGTTGGCTGCTGGTGTTGCCAGTTGGTGTTGCATGTTGACAAGGCCCAAATGCATTTAATTTCTTAAAGAGGCGCGTAATTAGTTTGCCGCTGCACCGACGAGTGCTACACACAGCCGCACACACCCAAATAATATAATACCGGGTACTCGTACACGTGCTTATACTCATACTCATACCCATGCTCATGCCGGTACTCAAACTCGTGCTTATATTATGTAGCATAATTCGAGGCGCCTCTGCAGTTGACTCGGTTCAGGTTTGGGCTTGGAGTCCTTTGCTCGTTTCCTCGTTGCAACAGCGGCCACTAATGTGCCTCTTTGAGGTTTCGTAATTAATGTTTAATTGCTGCGAAACTTTGCTTGAGGTTAGCCTCGCGGTTTCCACACAAATATGTAATTCTTCTCCAGCGAAGCGTTATTAAAAAGGCTCCTGAATCAGCAGCAATTAAGGCCAACAATGGATTGTAGCTTACTAGATATGAGCTCAGCTGCATATGGTATCAGCTCAACTGAAGTTAATTGGCTTGGGAAATTGTGCGTTATTCTTACCCGAACTTTGTCTAGACTAAGAATTCTTCTCCTAGGCCAAATTTCTGAATGCATCAAGCATTAGATATATAAGGCAATAAGACTTTTGCGGATAAGGGCTTTTCCCATAAATTAAATCATTTACAATAATTAAATAGTCTAAGCTTAGTCAAAACACGTGTTAAACTCGTCGTATGAGGGATATTTAAAAACATGCAAAATGTTTGATAATTTATTTATGGGTGCACCCCCGGGCACGGTCAAAACGTTTATGCAAAAAGTTTAATCAACAAAACTAAATCGCTTAGAACGTAACTAATTTACGCTGCGGTACATGATGCAAAGTTTGGCCCATTTGCGCATCATAATGATAAAAGTTGGGTATCCCGCGGCCATGCGAAAGGTGTTGCCACGTGGGGTAAATGAAAATAGTCCGAGTTGAAGTTAAAAATATCCACGTAGTCATAAAGCGCATTGCGCAGTTGATTAATGCAGTCGAATCGATGAGACAAATTGTGGATTAATTTAAAAGGGCTGAATCCATGCACGGAGAATTTCAATGGACTTTTGCTGTCTTTCGCAAATTGTGAATTCTGAATAGCAAGTGGCAGCGCAGTAAAAGCACATACAAAATACAGAGAAGGGGCGAAAATGATGCTGAAGAGCAGTGCACACTTGATTGGCAACATTGAATACGCATACGATCCGAAGTTCACATGTTAATTAAATAGAAAGCCCAAACAGCAGCCGCACAACACTGCGTATGCGTGATGCGAGCCACTCGTAAACAAACTCAAGTTGAGTCGAGTCGAGTCGAGAGCAGATGAGAACAAAAGGAGGAAACGCTGCCTTTCATATCAATTTGTTTGGCCTACGCATTGAATTGCGGTTTATGGATAAGCACAAGATGAGTAGAGCAACAGCAACATCAACAGCAGCCACTGCACAGGCATCCGACAGATACACAGATAGGCTGTGGGAAAATAGGGAACAGCAATTTCAATACATTTGAGATTGTGGCCAAGTGCTGGAGGGGGGCGTGAAGCACGTCGAGTGCTACTCAAAATTTGCAGAATTCATTTATGCAAATGAAGTGGCTTCTATGACGCCGACTCTCAGCATGCACAAGAGCCCAACCGCCAAGCCCAGGCCAGAGCTAAGGGGTTGGCTGCTCTGGAGTAAAAAACAAAAGAAGCCGATGCGAAGACAAGTAATGAATGAAATTTGAGCAGATTATTCAGTTCCTTTTGCGCAACAATTAAACAATTTACGTACATTTTCGAGATCTCTAACATTTTGCCAACTAATTACGCTAGGGATGAGGGCTTTAAGGACCTGCTCAGAATGGACACCCACGGGGAGTCTCTAGCTGTTGAGTTGCTCGAGTTCTTTTGCGCTGATGAACCTGAGCACAATGCCTGCGGGAGACGAGCACAAGAAATGAATACATAAAGCTCAATTAGGAGTCGGAGTAGTTGCTAAAATGAGAGTGGATAATATAAAGATCTTCATATTTTGTTATTTAATTTGATTACGGTTTTGAAGGCGACCCAGAAATACAGGTGGAATTGAGGTAAAATGTTTGCAAATTCTGCTATAGCATTAGCAAAGAAATCGTGAATGTTTGTAATTTTAAGAAAGCATATATGATACATCAAAGTATGCTGCTTAAGTTTCAAGGGAGCACCTTCTATTTTCTAACATGTTCCTGATCCATAAGTGAGAAAGCTGTGTGCACCGAAGGGAATTTCAATTTGATTGATTGAACATTGTATTAAATATCGGTAGGATATTGATAGCGATTAAGACATTTGTATGCCAACAGGCTAACCTTGTTGTTTAATTAATTATAATTAATCTCTTTCATATTCAATAACAGAAATAATCCATTCTTGATTCTTACTGCCGGGCATTTTAATTATTTTTCATATTTAAAGTTGCACTTACTTACATCAACCTGAGCAATTGAAATGAACTGTGAAACTAGTTGGCAAAATGCACTTTGCTTAAGTGTCCTTAAGGCCACAAGGATTTCCGATTGTCAACGTCGAATCGCAGCGAATGTGGACTTAGTGTGGACCAACAGTAGATCCCCATTCAAAGCTCCGCTCCCAGTTCCCAAATCACTTTCAAACCTGTGCACACTGATTTCGAACGCCTGCCAAATGCATATATGTAGGCATTATATACATACACACATATTCAAATATATTTATATGTATATAAATATATATAAATGCGACAAATCTACGTATAATATGCATGTGAATCTGCGGAGCTTTTACGATTCGGCCAGCGGGGATTATGTGCTCAACGGTTGTGCAACTGTCACTAGCATTGAAAAGCCTGAGGCGGGGGCAAGCCCGCTAGGGGGACTGTCACACGAGCGGACAACGACAGTAGCGATGTCAGTTGTTGATTAAATAAAAGAAGAACCATCCCAAAAAATAAAAATGATAAAATAAAGCAGGGGAAAAAACTATGCTGAACAAAGGCAAATGCAAAATGAAAACTGAACTAGAAAAAAGTTTACTTTTAACATCGATTCCCAGGGCATTTTTTAGTGCACTGCAACAAATACAATAGGAGAGAGGACGAAAGGGTGTTTGCGAGAGAAAGAAAGAGAGAGAGAGTGAGAGGGATAGAGGATGGTCGAAATACAGAGCTAGAGTTGAAACCTGCCAGAGTGCAGCGTTTAAATAATTCAGGCCGAAATGTCAAACAGCGTCGTCTAAGGATGATTTTTGCGGAAGTTGTTGGCATTCTCGGCTCCTCGCAGCCATCTACAACTTTGCAGCATGAATAAGTAAACCATTGTCTGGGACCACCTCTGCTCCTCTGCCCGCTCCCGCATATCCCTGCTGCAACAGCCCTTCATTGTTAAAAAGTTGTTGACGTTGATGCTCTCTACGTGTAAAAAGGTGAACAACATTTGTAGACTCGCAATTGAAGTGACATTTCACACGGCATCCGAACCCCCTTACCACCCTTCCCACCCGCTCCCCCACACAGCGGCATACCTTTTACAGTACCCCACACTCCCTCTCGCCGCATCACGTCATCCGTCTGCCAAAGTGACTTCTGGTGACTTGTGCCGCTCACGTCGCAATTATTTGCAGCAAGTTGAAATTTATACCCACAAAACTTTTGCCCGAATTCACACACATACACCTACACACAGACACACGCACACTGAATGAATACATCAAACAGCGATAACCATCCCTTGGACCACAACAAAGCCAAAACAAATAATTTCCATCAGGCGCAATTGCTGGGGCGTTTCGCCATACCACTCCAGGGGGAGGCGTCCTCTTTAGGGGTTGCTACTGTTTTGCCGTTGCGTTTCATTACTGAATGCCAGTTTATTAAAAAATTTGTGCCCAAAATTTAATAAAAACATCAGCAAACGACGTCGCAAGAAATCACAACACTTGACGCGCAAAATTCGTACTTTCACCACCCGCCATAAAAAAAAAAAGCCACCACTCGTTGGCCAGGCCAGCATCCCCCGCCCGGCGGTCAGAGAGACTGTGCTATGACGCACCGGATGCCCGGATGCCCAAGCGGGCGTTATATGTATGTGTACATATATTTTTTTTCGAGCACTTGCCAGGCCACACGTTGAACCGTGGCTCGACATCCCTCAATGTGTTGCCCGCCGGGGGGTTGCATCCGTTATGCCACCCCCCTGCCGCAACCGTTTATTGCCTTTTCTTTGGGTTTTCTTTTTGTTTTTGTTTAGCAACTGTTGCTTCTGTTGCTGGCCATTGTTTTTGCCATTTCTACTGCTGCTGCTGCTGTTGTTGCAATGTGTCGCATCATTAATTTTCTACTGTTATTTGTTTGCAGCCACCCCTAGCCCCTATGGCCACCCCTTTTGGAATGTAACTCATATCACGCCTTTGTATCTGCGCCGCCGCTTCCATAAATTTTGATAATGTGTCAATTTATGAATGGCCCCATTGGCGACCGCTTGTCTATTTGACCGAGGGGATTGTCTGCTGTCAGTATATTGATTGTTTTATTGATGACCCCTCCCCCAGCACACCCTCCATGACAGAGCCGAGACCTTTCCTCTTACTTTATGGTTTGACAAGTGTATAGAATATTGAGAACTTGATTCTTAGTAGTTTATCATAAACGATTAGCACCTTTTTATCGGCAAGTATCTGGCAGCTCTATATATAGATTTAGGCTCCCATATCCATATAGATAGATAGGACACAAGTGTCGAATTTGCCCTGATGAGAACTTGTCAAACTTGGCAGTATTATCATAAATATAATAAATAAATCACAAAGAGCATTGTTATATATATGAAACCTTTAATTTTTAAATTTGAATAAACGAGATTATAAGACCTAATTCTTTATTTTAGGAATTAATAATTCAACGAATATACCGTTTGTGTAAACCCTCGTCTATCGAAATCACTGGCAACAATATTATTCGATAATTTTGAACCATTTAACGACATGTAACAATATTTAAAACCGATAACACCCATGTTGGCTAAAGAATGGATTTCACAACTTAATAACAAAACTGGATTTTCTTCTACGTTTTGCTGCCGTTTGGAACAAAAGGAAAATTAGTGGACAGTTCTACCTATAAACGGTAATTTATCTGTTCTATTTGTTTCTTATAAACTTTTCTTTATTGTAGTATTCTTCGCCAACACTAAAATAATAAGTTTCCACTTTCCTTACAGATAGGTCCAGATCGTTAATTTGCTTACTGTATGGCCGAGAGACTGCAATTAGATCTCCAATTAAAACGGGATGGTTTCTCACATCTTTCAAGAAGTCAAGTTTTTTTGAGCTGCTCAAATGGACGAGAGACAGCGACAGTTCGCCCGATAACTGCTCAATATTGGAATATTTATCTAATATCGAGGTATCAGACCCATTCTACAATTTAAGCGATACTCTTACCTATTCGCACATTCCTTTATTTTTGAAATTCGAGTTTAAAATACATAATAAAAGAGAAAGTCAACATGGATCTGACATAGTTCTACACAAAGGTCACCTACAATTGATGAAACTAATCTGAACTTGAATTAAAGCATGTTCCCACTTAGATACTTGAACGAATTATGTATTTTGTATTCCTCGATCCAGGGGAATTTCTGGAAGTGTCGTATTAATTTGAACACTCCGGCTTATTTAATTATTCATAGCCAATGTTTGTTCAATTAGAGCAAAAGCCGATGCCAGTGACTAATTAATGGATAGACAGCATCATCATTAACTCTGTCGCACACACGACATTCCTGAGTATTCGTTGCAATCGGACTAATTAGGAAATTATATTCATTCGCCTCTGCGATTTGTGTTCTCACGAGGGGCAGCAGAGAAAGGCATACGAGGGAGTTTTTAGCGATTTATAAAAGTGTGTGGGTCGATGAACTCCTAGGTCAGAGGTTAGGTTCTGCGCATGCTGCCTTCGCTATTTGATATAAGAATTATTTCAGCATAATATTCGCTTTATATCAGATGAGTGGGACGCCCCATTTAAATATGTACAAGCAAATGTGTTTGTGCTTGTGTGTGGGTAGAAATACCTCCACACGCACATTTCGAATGTATTCATTTGTTTGTAATTAGGGATTAACTAAGATTACAACCATCAATATCAATTATTCGAAGGCCCCACCATATGCCAATGTATTAGTTGCCGTACATGTGTTTATTACAATTTACGCACAACTGAAAGCCGACAAAAAGGAAAAAAAAAACAATACAAGAAAGCTTAAGGCTAGAATAATCGACAAGCAGACACCCTGTGTTATAGTAATTAGTGTTTTACAAAGTTGTGCTTTTATTGATCTCTTAGGTTGTTAAAAGAAGAATCAAACATCTGAATAATAATAATAAACAAAAGGTGTAGCTTTTTATTCAATCATCTTTTTAGTCTAAGCTTTTTAAGTTTCCTAGATGTGTCCAATGCATTCGCTGCTTATTAAGTACAATTACAAAACGTCATGCCTCCCTTTTTACACACACTTTTCGGCTAGAGGGTACAAACACGGAGAATAACAAAAGCCCACCCCATGTCATTTACATGGGAGCTGTGAAGAAAAAAGAAACCCATAACAATAGTTGGGGCACAATACATTATATAAATTAATGTTGATTTAATGGAATACATATTCATTGTGCTCCAGCAAAGTACAGTTTGTGGGTATTTAGTTAATTGCAATTAAATTCGCCACCGCAAATTGTGGGGTAAATGCTTCCCCGCCCACGAATGGTCCACTCTGCCATTGGCTATTTATGGGTAGCAGATAGAAAACCTCATAAGGAGAGTGCGATGCCATAAGATAAATCCGCTTATGGCCTGACCGCATGTGTACTGGATACTCTGAGTAGATGAAATTCGGACAGCAAGCTGACAAGTGATTGGGAAATACAAATAAGCATAAAAATGGCTATTAATAGAAATCATTTGTTAAGGGAATCTGTCTCTTAAAGATACTTCGTCTGGAAACCTGTAAGGTCAACACCAAAGGTTGAAAGACGTCCACGACCATGTTGAACAACGCTTAAGCCCCCAAAGCAGATAATTACAATAATCAGAAATACATATATGTACTTTGAGTGGAAATAAAAGCACAATTCGGCTGAGAACTGTGACCGTGTAAATATAGCTTTGTTTAAAATAAAAACGAAAATGCATATTATTATAGAAAGAAAGGACATGCAATATGATCAATTGTGTAGACCTTGGCTGCACACCCAACAAAAATTTCGGTTCTTGGATTCACCTTCTCAACCAGTGCCTCCCATGCGATTCTTGAACTTGGATTTCCACATTTGTGAACGTAAAATTTTTTAAGATTGAGCTGTCCTTAAATCTTACAGAAGTTGAAACTATTTTAATTTAATAATTTAAAAACAAGTTGTTACTATTATAGTATAGGCTTTATTAGATTTTTTCGATTTGTAGGAAACACTTCGTATACTTAATTAAAGGCTGAAGAAGCAAGTTAAGACATAGAATATGATTTATTTAAGTGACTGTGTACACTTAATATTTAATATTTTAGCTTTTACTCTGTTGTTCATCAGGGCCTCCTCGCTGTGGTTCCCCTTCCCTGCTGTTTGTTGCTGTTATACTTAAAGTTAAATATTTTCTGCTATTTCTGGCCAACAAGTTCTATTTGACTAGCATTATAAAAAGAATATTAACTCGATTTTCATTATGTCATAGCATATTGTGTTTCCACTTTGTTCTTGCCTAACTAAAGAGAATTGCATATTACATGTGTCCCTGTAATTATTTTTGCCGCAAGCTTCGTTTCTGTTATAGATACTTTTGGGTGCACTTCATAAAGTCATTCACAATTCTCTTTTATTTTCTGTTCTAATTTAACAAAATTAGCAAATAAAAAAGTTTTTTTCCGCAAAATTACACAAATGTAATTCAAATGCCATCGGGGCGGTCGACACGAAAGCGAAGGCCCCCAGAAAAGGCAAAAGTCACGCAGAAGGCACCAGACAGAAGTGAGCAGAGGGCGAGTGGCCCATAATGGGGGGGGCTTGAGCTCATTTTCAAGAAAACTTTTTGAGAATTATATGATAATTTTAATATACAAACAAATTGTGTGGCACTTTCAATAAAACTTTTGCCATTTCTTATGCTTTCAGCTGTTCGCCCGGACAGTTGAGTTATTAGCGTATTATGTGTAAAAATATACTGTCTCAATAGCTACACACACACACCCACACACACAGTTATACATTTGCCGCACCACGCAGTTTGTAGCTCCATGCTGGGGCATGCAACTCATCTATGGCTCGCTCCAGTCACTGTCATGTGGTAATGATTGATGCAACTGACAATTGCGGCAACATCCGCACAACAATGAGCCAGGGAAAGCGCAACGCAACGCAGCACAGCGCAACGCAACCATGACAAATCAATCTCCACAACCGAAAAACCCATTGCCACATCCACTCTCCCTTTCTATGGCCAACCCCTCAAAGCCTTTCCATGCCGATGTATCCAGCAATTTTGACGCTGTCAACTTCAAAAACAGAAATGGCACATTTGCATGACAGCTCAATTCGTGAAATATTCGACAATGAACCCACTCCTATCTATTGGTGTGTGTGTGTGTGTGTGTGTATGTATGCGTGTATATTTCAGTATTCCTCTCAGTGTTGAGGAACTCATATTGAAACTGTTTGCCATCAGCGTATCAGGGGTAAATCATTCGATTCGAATCCAATAATGTGTGAGATGGAATCAACCGTTCAACCTATTGTGAAGTCTTAAAAATATGAATATTGTACCTGTCACGTACATTTTATGCACTCGAATATTAATTTAATGTTTATCCCAAATGTTTAGAAAAGAACCCTGATAGTAGACGCCAGTCAAGAACAAATATCTATCGAAATCAGTTGATCTTAGCAAATAATTATAAGGACTCAAGCTTAACAAGTAAGAGGCTCTATTCGGGAGTTCCCGACTAGGGGATAATAACAATAATATTCAAATATAGTTCCCTCGATGGGGCTCGAACTCGTAAAATACCACGCTACTTGCCGCCGCCTCTACCCAACTGATCACTACTGAAAAAAAAAAAAAACAATTTAAATAGCAGCACATACACCCAGCACAGAAAACAATACCAACGCAATTGTAATGCTGTTGTTGATAAAATTCATGTGTACATGTATACAGAAATTCTTGCAATTTGCCCAAGCTGCGGCAAATATTTATATATACAACACACTTCTCTTTAATAACTTTTGTGTTGCTTAACCGAACTTGAAGAAATTTTCAACAGCAGATCTTATTGTGCTATAGAAAATTTGTACATTTTAAAAATATTAATTGCATTAAAATTGTGGCCTTAATTGGTAGGCAATACAAATGCTAGATTGACTTGGCTATTGTTGCTGATCAAGAATATATATATACTTTATAGGGTTGGAGATGCTACCTTCTGGCTGTTACATACATTTGCACATATAAATTATACCCCATGTCAAAATTTAGAATTTCATTGTTTTGATACCAATCGATAGTACTGATCCTAACGAGTCCAAAATTGTATAAAATTCCCAAATCGGATATTATTTGGCCGAGATATTCCAAAAAATCATCAAGAAAGGTTGAGTTTACAAACGAATCGGTTTTTGGTCAACCACTTTTTTTCACCCATCGATTTTTAATTTGTTTGAATGCCAATTGATAGTAGGGATCCGTTCGAATTTAAAAAGGTATAATATTTCAAAATCAGACAATATTTACCCGAAATATTGAACAAAAATCATCAAAAAAGTTTTGATTTTCGAACCGACCCCGATTTTTAGAATAAACATGATGTAACCCCTTGCCATTTTGACGATTTTGGTTTTCAACGATTTTCAAAAATTAGATTTTCTTTTTATTGATGCCAATCGATAGTACTGATCCTTACGAGTCCAAAATGGTATAAAATTCCCAAATCGGACATTTTTTGGCCGAGATATTCTAAAAAATCATCAAAAAAGGTTGAGTTTACAAACGAATCGGTTTTTGGTCAACCACTTTTTTTCACCCATCGGTTTTAAATTTGTTTGAATGCTAATTGATAGTAGGAATCCGTACGAATTTAAAAAGGTATAATATTTCAAAATCAGACAATATTTACCCGAAATATTGAACAAAAATCATCAAAAAAGTTTTAATTTTCGAACCGACCCCGATTTTTAGAAAAAACATGATGTAACCCCTTGCCATTTTGACGATTTTGGTTTTCGACGATTTTCAAAAATTAGATTTTCTTTTTATTGATGCCAATCGATAGTACTGATCCTTACGAGTCCAAAATGGTATAAAATTCCCAAATCTGACATTATTTGGCCGAGATATTCTAAAAAATCATCAAAAACGGTTGAGTTTACAAACGAATCGGTTTTTGGTCAACCACTTATTTTCACCCATCGATTTTTAATTTGTTTGAATGCCAATTGATAGAGGGGATCCGTACGAATTTAAAAAGGTAAAATATTTCAAAATCAGACAATATTTACCCGAAATATTGAACAAAAATCATCAAAAAAGTTTTGATTTTCGAACC